GAGCATGACTGGGGGAGAGGGGCAGAGGGAGAGAGAAAGTATCCCAGGCAGGTTCTGTGCTGTTAGCGCAGAGTCCGACCCAGGGCTCGATCTCACAACTGCAAGATCATGACCTGAGTCGAAATCAAGAGTTGGATGTCTAACCAACTAAGCCATCCAGGTGCCCCAAGTAATTTTTTGTTTAAATGCAAGGGAACTACGGAAGTTGACTTTTCACCTTTCAAACAGGTACAGATTTGTAAATATCGGGTCACACAGCAGGCACTGTGCTAATTAACAGCCACTGATGAGTTCCAAAACAACAGAAATATATTTTGTTACTTGTTTTCAGATTCCTTAATGATTCCTCACATGTCTTTCCCACCCAGAACGACTGTGAATACATGGAAAACTAAATATGCTGAAAATAATGATTAGTGTGTTTCCTGACTGCCTCCGTTTCAGAAGACAGTCTGACAGGTGGTTAAAAAAAAAAAAAAGTACCCCATCTTCAAAATTATCCCCAAATCATCTCCATCTTGGTATTTGAAATTTAAAATTTTAACTAGTTTTTCTTATTATTTGAATTTAAAATGTAGTTTCCAGGAGAATTTCTTAGCTAAAACTGTGTCAACAGAATGATAAATGGAAGCACTAAAAACAATCAAATGTTTGGCTAGCTAGCCCGTTATTCCATATTATTATCTATTCATTTGTATTATTTTAGTCTCTTCCCTCTTACTTTTTAGGTAATGTAATGGGATAAACCTTCACAGGGTGGAACATAATTTTCCCCAAACCTCCTTCACTTTGTGCATTTACCTTAGAGTCAGCATTGGGATTGTGGGGCAGACAAAACTGAGCGAAGACTCACGGGATAAAAATTTGTTTCACACAATTTACAAAATATAGCTGTGATCCAATTCGGCGCTGGATGCAACCTCTGTGCTCTTCAGTGTTAAAAGCCTTTACCAGGAAGCTGAGGTGAGCGATCCCCACCCAGCAGGGGCTGTTTTGTATCAGAGAAAGATAGCGCAAAAGGGCAGGAGTCCAAGGGCTCAACTCGAATGCCCACTCCCAGCTTAGTACGTAGGGCTGCTGTACCTTGTCCTTTGTGATTCACTTCCTTCGCTGCTATCACTTTATTCAAGACTGAAGTGAGTGGCTCATTCTCCCCAATCACATGGGATGTTATCAGGGGCGACATGATTAGCTGCCTCTGCCGGATATAGGTTTCCATTGCAATTCTGGGAAAGTCAGAAATGAGAGGTTAGGTAAAAAGCGGAAGCTTCTGTAGCAACAGCTTCAGATACGGTGGGTCCTATGGGAACAATCTGCAGCTATAAACATTGGACATACCTAACTTGAAGACTCTTTCTTCCCTGTATTTTTCCTTTGGGTGCCCAGCTTGGTCATTTCCAAGATGACGCTGGTGCCTAAGACAGGCCCCCAGTGGAAAAAGGAAAAACAAATTCCCCCAAGAACAACAACAACAACAAAACCAAACTGATGGGCAAATGTTAACAAAATCAGAGGCAATGCCTAATGCTCTTTCTGAGCTGGGAGAGGCTGATGTAATGGAATCGAAGAAGAAACGGGACGAGGCAGGAGACCTGGCCTCCAGGTCTGGTTCCATCTAACTGAGCCTCAGTCTCCTCATCTGCGAGGAGATGGGCCAAGATCATATGCCTCCCGAAGCCTCCCTCTGGTGCCAACACTTAACATACAGGAGCAGTATGCACGCAGCAGCTTTTGGAGAATGTTCTCAGATCCTCATGTGATGACAAACTATATTTGGAGTTACAGTGGCACAGCCAGCAGCAAACAAGTTTCACTTTAATGATCCCATCAGGCTGCGGCTCGGACAGGGTGATCCAAGAGCCAAATCCAGCCCCTCCTGACAGCCCGGGCACTCTCAGGAACTACAGGTCAGCCCGGTGCAGTACAAGAGTCTCTCTCTCTCTCTGCTGTGGTTTTCTTCTCTTGCCCACACGCAGGCCAGCGTTCTCTGCGGGGCTCTGTTCTGGACCCTGATAGTTGCAGGGAAACATACAGCAGTATCTCACTGAAAAGCGAGGTGGCTATGATCTGCGTGGGTGCTTTCAAAGGGCTTTCTCTTTGATGAACTGGCAGGAGACATATAGGAGACTCCCCTAATATAACATGCTATAAAGCTTTTGAGATAAGTTATGAAAGCATTTGCCATAAATCTTAGGAGTTCAAGCACCGGAGACTGTGATTTGCATCACGGAATGCTTTACAGTGGCTGCTGACTGCACAATGAGTGGTAATCAAATTAGGTCTGGGTTCCTCAGAAACTCAAAGCGCATATTATTATACAGTGAAGGCCGTTTCAGGGCTCGCTGTTTCAACGTAGCTCCCGGGTGGGAGCTGGTTCAGAAATTAGGCAGGGAGGCACATAACCAGAGGAAGAAACCCACCTCAGAAGTGAAACACACATACAGAATAACTTTCACGTGCATACATGCTGCTATTATGTAATGTATATACTCATATATAACACGCACATAAGACATAATGCATATATAATAGTGATACGCGGTAACCTTTGTAAACACGTCATATCTACATATGGGTGGATATAACAGGAACATCCGTGGTCATGCGAGTTGTTTATATTTATCATACATAAAATGCATGTTTTAATATATTCAAATATATATTCATATTTTTTCTATATATTATTTAACATTTACTCATTAATGTTTAAGGTATATTCATATATTTAACACATTAATACACTTAATGTATTAATAAAAATTATATTTGATATATTTATTACATTTAGTATATTATTTAATATACTCGAACACGTGTGTATATAATTATCATGGGATCAGCATTCACGAATTTGAAAGTTAGCTCATAATTCGTATTAGCATGAAGCTACATATTCACCTCACCACATTCTTGGAGCGTCAGTATATATGTGGTAAGATACTAGATAAGTGCAC